AACGAAACATGTTTTGTTTGGNTTAGACATTCCGAATTCGTTCAAAATATGGTAATTTAAAACACAGAATTCGTTCAGTGTTCCTCCGGGGATTAATAGTGTTCGCTTTATTTTTGTAGAAACGAAACATGTTTTGTTTATGGATCATTTCTACACTCTTTCTTCAAATATTTCTCGTATTCCAGCTGTGCGCAGGCGTTTAGTTTTTCGCATCGTGTTTTTTACGTATTCGTAATTTAAATTTTTTTAATAAAATCAATTGGTGGTAGTACATGATTGTGTGTGGATTAATATCACAACACTGAGGATTTGGCAATAACCTTTTTCATCTATTAAAAAACAACACTTACGGGGCTATTTCCATTTGAATGAGGAAATGGCGTCAATGACTTTATTTCCAAATTTTTGTTGACTTTATTTCTTTTTGAAAAGGTAATAATGTTAATTGACTTTGTTTCGCACCAGGGTGGGAAATAAAGTCAATTGACCTTATTTCCATAGACCTTATTACCTGTCACCCATCGAAACTCCCACGTGCAATATTTCCTGAATAACCGGCACGGAAAAAGTATTACAAGAATTTGAACTCATTGTTTGGGATGAGTGCACGATGCACATAAAAAATCGCTTGAGGTTCTTAATCGATTGATGAGAGATTCGCGTGGAAAGTTTCAACCATTCGGGAATGCATTGATATTGCTCGCAGGAGATTTTACGCAAACATTGTCTATAATTTCTCGATTAACACTAGCGGACGAGATATGTAAATTCTTACCACGATTGGCTCAGTGAATAAGGATAAGTTAAGGATAGAATAAGGATGTCTAGCAAATAAATAATAGTGGTATTGACAACAGTCGTTGCTTGAGCTGATCTGCTCTTTTACCAGACCGCCAGGCCACTTGCTTACTTTGGTGAATACCACTAATGTTATTCAATCCTGCATTCAACGTGAGGAAATAGCATATTCGTCGATAAACACCGTTGTGGAAAAAGATGATCCAACGGAATTTTTGAGCTCGATTGATCTTCCAGGGAGACCCCACATACTGAAATTGAAAATAGGTGTGGCAATTATCATGTTGCGAATATTAATCAGCCAAAACTTTGCAACGGCCCGCGACTCGCACTTAAGAAATTGATGAAGAAAGTGGTGTAAGCAGAGATTTTAACATGGCCTTTCAAAGGTGAAGCATTCCCATGATTCCAACCGATACACCATTTCAATTAAAAAGATTCCCAATTCGATTGACATTATGGTTTAAATTAAGATGCGGATTGCTTCTCAGATGTTGCGTGTTCCTGTGTCGGCAAACCAAATATCCTTGATAACTATGCAGCGAATGGAAAAACAACAAGTACACAAGTACTTATTACATAACCAAACACATATGAAACGTATGCCTTTCGTTAATAATTTATCATTCATATAACAAGAATATGCCACAGCAAAGCGTGGCAGGGTACAGCTAGTAGCTTATAAATTATTTGAGCATCGGTTCTCTTTATAGCCAGATCTTGAACATTTCTACTTTGACGTTAAATATCAAATAAGGTAGACGTAGGGGGGACAGTTTTACCACAGAAGTTTTTAGCCAAGGATCCAATGTATATCTCTATGTAAAAATATTCCCCGAAAAGTAAACAAAATTTATACTTTGAAATGTTTGTTAAAAACAAATTCCCCGAAAGAGCCCAATTTGAAATTATTGAAACGAATATACATATCGCACGCCTAGATCTAAAGTGCGGTCAACTAAAAAAAGGCGACTTTTTTGCATGAATCAATTCATAGGACTCACATCCAATTAATGGAAGTATCTTTTTCATGATTATATACACTAACTAAAAAAACAGGTATAATGTTTTTGAATAAATTGCGTTGAATTTGCACGATCCGCAAGCAGTTAATTTTCCCTCTCTGAATTTTGAGTGAGCTAACTCTACATGTAGGGGTGCGATATGTATCATCAAAAGCAAATCCCGAAAATTTGGTTTAAAATTATAGTGCACACTTTCTTCTTTTATGAAAAATAGTTTTTTTTAAGACTAGTCCAAGAAAATCATAATAAAGAGAAAAACCAATGCAGGTATTTAAAGCACAGAAAAAAAATCAGTGCGTGTAGTCCCTACGCGCGGAGAAGTGAAACTTAATAGAGAAAATTCAAGAAAGAAAGAAATATGCGATATACATACACATGTACATATTTTCTAACATACAAAATACATATTTAAGTATTTAGATTTTTTAACGGGCTTTAATTTGTTATTTTATATAACTGACTGCTAAGTTTAATTATTGTTTGTTGCTGGTAAAACATTCATATCAACAATATTAACTAGGGGATTGTGGTAACTAAAGTAAGATAATAAATATTTCGATATTATTATTATTTCCGGCAAAAACTACATCAATGGTAGTCCTTCCTTTGGTTGTTGGATCATTTCTACCATTAACAATTTTCAATGAAAATCTTCCTTTGAAAAATTTTATCAGTTTATCAGATTTGACCAGCGCAATGTTGACACTGAAAACTGCTGCGAAAATTGCAATTCGATCATAACAATCTACTTATCTTCATCTTCATCTTCATCTTCATCTTCATCTTCATCTTCATCTTCATATTTATCTTCATCTTTGTAGGGTGGGAGATTTTTAGATCTATTTTTTTAAATGGCGTTTACTTAAAATTTGTTGTCAAAAAGGTTATACTCTATACATTGCGTAAAAGGTATTTCAATTATCTTTAAATTAGCATCAAAACGTTTGTGATCGGTCAAATAGTTTGCGAGATATTATAAATATAAAAAATATAAAAGTTAAACTTGAACCTTTTTTATTGGCTTTAGTTTTTATTTGCACCAGATACTCATCATATGGTTGAAATCAGCATGAAAAGTTCTATTTGGCTAATTTTTTTTTATTTCTTTATGGCTAAACGGTTGGTATTCTACACCACGGCTACGTCGGACTATTTCTGTCTAAATGCTGGAGTACGGGAACAGGCTAAAAGTGAATAAGAAAAAGTAAACAGAAAAATGCCAAATTAAACTCTGAGTTTATTAAACATCCCAATGAGTACACTTGGCAGTTGTTCATAAACTCAAAACTTTAAACAAAAAGTTTTCACTTAATAGATGTTATGCTAAGTTACATTTAACCCAGGGAAGTCTTAATTATCCCGGAAACTGAGTGAGCACCTAAAATAATTTTGACTGCCCTAAAAAGCCCCTAAATGTCACTTAATACCTCAGCAATATTTCGGCTACCGCGACGTCAAGCGATTTTTCAATGTTTACTAGGAAATATTTTTAGCGATTTTCAATGTTTACTGGGCAATATTTTTAGTGATTTTTCAATGTTCAACGGGCAATATTTGCAAAGCACATAAAAAGCCCAAAATAATAAACTCAGATAAGCAGTAAAAAGTCTTGACCGGATGGATGTTTTGCTAAGTTACAGTTGACCCAGCAAAGTCTTAATTATCTCGGAAACTGGATGAGCTCCTATAATTATTTTGGTGACTATAAAAAGCCTAGAAATAGAACGCAATTCCTCAATAATATTTATCCGTCAAGCGAATTTCAAAGTTTACTGGGCAATATTTTGAAAGCACATAAAAAGCCCCAAAAAATAAGCCCATATAAGTAGTAAAAATACTTCATTGAATGAATGTTTTGCTAAGTTACGGTTAACTTAGCAAAGTCTTAATGATTTCCCAATTGGTCGGAGCCCAAAAAAAAAGAAAAGTGGCCGAAAATAGCACACAATGAGCACCATAATACGAACAAAATTTTTCTTAATTTTTTCATTTCAGCGCCGCTAACTTGATTGAGCTCGCCATCAGCGTTTTTCGATTTTAGTTTTTGTAATTAATTTTTAATGCTTTCTTCTTTGACTGGTTAGATATAGATATACGTTTTATCAGTGCACTTGCACAATATTCCAGGGACCGAACATAACAGTTATTTTTTTTTACGAGTTGAACTTGGGCTAATATTTTTTATTCCGAAATAAAAGTCCTTTCAAATTAAACAAGTTTGGTATCAAATTAAAGAGGACTTAAATAGCTTTAAAATCTCACCTGATGCAGCGTCGATCGAAAAGAATTTACAATTTTGGCAAGTTTCTAGTTTTTCAAGTTTGTGGCCTCAAGCGAGTAGTTATTAGCGGCGCAGATTTGATTTACGACCCTTTAAAAAGTTTTCATTAAATACAATGTTCCAAATTTTTAAATTCAAGTACTAACAAAAAAAAAACATTATTAAAACTAACATCACTGAACCAAAAATCCATCTCTGGATCAAAGAAAAACTTTCTTTACTTTAAGGTCGAAAATTCTCCCGAATGAGTAAAAAATTTTCCCGAATGAGTAATTTTTCTTTGGAATGTGTAAAAACGTACACGAAAACATGGAACCGTGGATGTAATTTATCATTTTGAAGAAATGGTGGGCATGAAAAGAGGATAAAACTTCTTTAGTGCTATTTCGGTCCCAGTTTTCTTTATTTTGATTGCTGTTTCTTCAATTAAGAGACGTTTTTTTTGGTTGTAACCTTTCCATTTTTTATTTAACTAAATCATCTAATTTACACACCTAAATTATTTCATAAAAATACATGACATCCGCATTCGATCCGCATCCGCGGATGTTAGCTTTTAAACATCCGCATTCTTATCCGCGGATGTCTAAAATTCCACATTTGCAACATCTCTAGTCCTAACCATTGAGCAAAGTTCGCTATGTAAACTGTTGCTGCTTTTTTCCACTTCATTTGTTCAACCCAACTACAATCAAGGGCAACGACTTTGTTGCTATTTAGACTTGATCATGCGGTTGTTGTTTGTTGTTGGTTTGTGTTAAAATTCTTTTTTTTTTATTTTAACTTTAAGTTATTGATTTTTTGCTATTTAGTGGATCTGCATAACACAATATATTCACTCGTGAGCTAATTAAAACTAAGTATGCAAATTGAAAACCAAAGTATTTATTTTCTGTTTATAAAAATTTAACAATATTCCGCAAGCACGGTTAAACGTGTATGTATGCAACTTCTTGTTCCTCGACTCCTTTGACTCTGATATCCTGAATATGTTGGTTGCAGAAATGTTAAATTTTACATTTGCCAGCTTAACATGGTGTGGTAAATAATACACAAAGATGTCCAGAATTTGATTGCAGAAAAACTTGAATTCTCCTTCTTGGGTTTGTTGATTGCAGAATATTTATGTATATGTTTAAGTACAATCCGTATGTTGATTGAAGAAGTGGGCCCAATGGTATGTTGATTGAAGTTTTGTTGATTTGCAAATATTTTATTTACTTACTTTCACTTTTTAGAAGGCGCAAAAAGTTGTCAGATTCTCCGAAGTTAAACATTTAGCAACGGTTACTAATTTTTTAACTCGACAAAAGAAAAAGGAACCTGCAGGTATCTTAATTTTTTGTTTCCAATTGGAGACAGTTAATATTTTATTTCCTATGTTAATCTTCACTCGATTTAAATGACGTATTTATTAAACTTAAAAATTAAATTGATTTAGTTTCATTATATTTACTCAAATTATAACTTTTAAAGTTATTACGTTAAAAATTATCATCCACATTGCCGTGTCGTACTGCGCAGCTCACCCCCATCATAAATATTTAAATTATGCTGACGCGAGTATTCATTTACGACATGTTGGCCTAAAATATTTTAATAATGAATTGTGTTTTTTATAATAATGGTTTGAAATGCTATTTTTTAGTGCTCTTGAGTTAGCTTAAATATTTTTACAACACTTACCCTCCTCGATACGTCTTGAAGCCTCTTCAATATCTGCCCCAGCATCTTTTAATATCACATACATTAAGGGCATCATCTCCCAGGGATAACGAAATTTCTCTAGCAGCTTTTGGCAATGCTCTAAAAACACATCCTGCGCTGTAAATAACAAAAGAAGTATAAATACGAATTAGAAATCAAATAATAACATTGAAATCTCTTAAATCCTTGCAAATACAAAATATGTTCATAAAATTTTACAAATACAAAAATTCATAAAAATCATGCAAATTTTCAGCGTTTTAATCAGATTTTTTAGAATTTTTTTGAGTACGTAGATTTGAAGAAGGAATCTATTTATTACGCAGTTTTTCCATGCAAAGGAACTGTTCGAGAATACTTTGAATGGAAAAAATGCAAACCACCTTCAAAATTCCAAAAAATCTAAGCCATTTTGGACTAACTTCAAACTTGCATTTTTTATACTGGAATTTAAAGTGCTACAAAACTGCATACTCAAGAAAAATTGATTGAAAATTCGAAAATTTCCATGGAAATTTATTAAATTACCGCGAGTTTTGCACATTACATTACTCCCGGATAAAAGTATTGAACAAAAATTTTTCTCAATGTACGCAAAGTTTTTTACTCCTACTTCTTTTCCTAAAATTTTTTATGAAAATCTAAATCATACTACAACAAAAGAATTAAAAATAAAGTCTCTAAACTTTGCGCAAAATTCAGAAACTTGCAACTTTCTCATAAGATTTTTTTGAAAATTTGAAGTGCTAAATAATCGCGTTGATTTTGATTGCAAGTTTCAGCTGGCTAAAAATTACCGTTGATTTTTTCATTTTTGTTTATAGTTATTTGCTTCTATATGTATGTATATACTACCGCATAAAATTGAATGAGCTATAAAACTGTATGTTCAAAAAATCGATTAGTTCTGAGAAAAAATATTGGAATTTGGATGAAAAGTATTTATTTTTTTTTTGTTTAGTTTTCAAACTTGGGTTTGTATGGGGGTTTGTAAGAAAATGAACTGTATTTTTGTTGTTCTGCTTCTAGTCTAGCCAAATAAAAATACCAAAAGTAAAACTGTATACAAAGTTCGCTTTTACGGAACGTTTTCTATATTTTAAGAAAATAAGTATTTTTACAAATGGAAGTCTTCGCCGAACTACATATAGGGTTGCCAGATTTTGATACGGAGAAAGGAGTACATTTATATTTTCGATAGAAAAAAAGCAGTACATGACATAAGAAAGGAGAACATTTTTTGTTTTTTTTGTGCAGTTTATTGTTACAAATTACCATTAATTAGATACAAACAAACAAAGATATCTTAGAAATCTTTTTCAAAGCAACAATAAATGTGAAAAATAAAAAACTATATGGGTTGGCTTTCCAATAGGGGTGGTTGTTAAAGAGATGGAGATTGAAGGGGGAGTGGACGTGGCACCTTTTCCGACCTTTTTTAAGAGGGCATGAACCGCCATTGACATAAATGTTACTCCCGACCACCTAGGGCCCCTACGGTTCCCTAGGGACCCCTTAGAAAAATGACCAAAAGTCACAATTTTCACTTGCGTTTTTTCGTTTGAAAAAGGTTGAATATTCATTTGCACTGGACATTTTATCGGGTGATTTTTTTGAGGTTAGGATTTTCATGCATTAGTATTTGACAGATCACGTGGGATTTCAGACATGGTGTCAAAGAGAAAGATGCTCAGTATGCTTTGACATTTCATCATGAATAGACTTACTAACGAGCAACGCTTGCAAATCATTGAATTTTATTACCAAAATCAGTGTTCGGTTCGAAATGTGTTTCGCAAACCCAATTGCTGCGAACGGCGACGAATCGACATTTCACGGTCTTCAGCAACACTCTCAGAAACAGACGCAATATTCTCTTCTGTACGCACTGTACGCATTCGTGTGGTTGGTTTAATGTCCAATAAAGTAAACTGAGTGCGAAACTTGGTCACAATCGCATTAATTGTTTGCTCACTTGGTCGATTATGTAGACCATAAATCGGACGTAAAGCGAACCGAACACTGATTTTGGTAATAAAATTCAATGATTTGCAAGCGTTGCTCGTTAGTAAGTCTATTCATGATGAAATGTCAAAGCATACTGAGCATCTTTCTCTTTGACACCATGTCTGAAATCCCACGTGATCTGTCAAATACTAATGCATGAAAATCCTAACCTCAAAAAAATCACCCTTTATATACCCTTGATAACAAAAGAGGTGCCTGCCCCTCTTCCCCGGCAACACAGAAAGGAGAATTCTACTTAGTAAGGGTTATAATCTCTAAGCGCGGCCAAAGGCCGCCTACGCAGAGAGGAGTTAAGTGCAAAAATACTTTGGATACCGATGCCGGAATTGTATCCACAAGAAATGTTATACACTTTTGACGAAGAGAGGGGTGCCGCCCACTCCCCCTTCGCTCACCACCTCTTCAATGATCGCCCTTATAGGAAAGAATTCCAGACTCTTCCTAAATGTATGGCCATTTTTTTAATTTAAGCTTTATAAATAATTTAATATTTTTCTGATTTTTATATCCGAGCGCCCTGCACCTACCTTGCTACGGCCATGCTTACACTTTTTCATTATCACACTTAACTTTGCTTACTAAGTAGTGTTTGCCACAATTTGAATGGCAAAGTACAGGGCGTAAAATAATAGCTGTCGCACAGGTTTTTTGAAAAATAAAAGGGTTCTTTATAGATTTTGTTAAACAAAGTATTTTTTTGTTAACTTTGTAAATATTTTACTTTAGTTTATTAATTGGTTTTAAAATTTTAGTCCTTACTTGCATTTGCCAGCTTTGGGAGATAAGTACATGCGGCACACACCTCTTTTTCAGGTGTAATTTTTCTTTGATTTTGTATGGGGAAAAAATAATGTATAGGGTTGGTCGAATGAATTCCCTCCTAGTGGGAGGAAATTAGCCTATGGTTACAGAAGATATGTAATAAAGTAACCGATGAAGACTTGCGTGCCGCTTGCGCTTTGCTCCCAAACCCCCTGGTAAACCCAAATGAAGGTTAAATTTAAAAACTATACAATAACGACTGTTTTTACTTGCGCTTTTCTCTCAAAGTGTTTATCGCCGGTAAACCCAAATGAACGTTAAAATTTAAAAACAAATTAATAAAATTGAAGTAAAATCTGTGGATAATTAACAATGAACCACTTTTTTCGCAAAATCTATAAAAGCCAATTTTATTAAAAAAAAAAACTGTGCAACAGTTATTATTTTACACCCTGCATATGATAAAATATTAATAGCTGGAAAAAGGAGTACAAAAGAAGTACAAAACTAATAAAGAAGTACATTTCCAGACATTTTTTTTTGGGAGTACATGGGAGTACATTGCAATAAAAAGGAGTACGTTTACTCCCAAAAGCAGTACGTCCGGCAACCCTAACTACATATGCATTAAAATGAATTGCTGTATTGCGTACCTACATATATATGTATATATATGCGAATAGAATTACACAAAGTCAAAAGAAATGAGAGAGAAGTGCTGCCATATGTTATAAATTTGTGTTTGACAATGCATATTTCAACAATTTTAATTGAAAATATATATTAAATTTATGAGGCGAAATTCGCCAAGTGTACCACGAAAAACTGTTATGACAGCATTTTGCACAAACTCCACCACGTTGTTGTTATACACTGAAAATAAAATTTCGTAAAAGTGCCACGAAAAACTTTCGTAGTCTTGGTTTTTGTACAATGTACGCAACTTTCGTTCATAATACGAACACATTTTTCCCAACGAAACAAGATTTTACGAACCATTCGTAAATATAACGGAAGGCCTTTCGTAAGGCATTTTTTCAGTACAATTTACGAAATCTTACGTTTATTTTAGGAAATACATTCGTAAATTACTGAACAAATCTCTGTACGAATAATTTTGTATATTGTACGAAGTCATTCGTAATATTTACGTACGCTTTTAAAATTTACGAAATCTACAATTTTGTATTCGTTCATTTGACTTAATACTTTCGTACAAAGAACAAATGCAAAAAAATGTTTTTTGAATTCGTACCACAGACGAATATTTTCATACAATATACTAAATTACCGTCCGTTTAATATTTTATCTTATTTTTTTGTACCGCGTGTCATTGCAAAATTACTAGTTGGCTGCTGTGAGACGTATAATATAATTTTAAACGTTTTAAAAAGGGATTTGCTGGATAAAATTATGATACAAAATTAAATATTTAAATTGTGGATATATGCTTTTAAGCATACAATGTTTTTAACATCGCCCACGCTGAGCTTTGCGTTGCCATGTGGGACTTCATAAACAGGCAATTTCATCAGCTACCTATCAACGGCTAGCCCAAGCCAGGAACAGAGGCACTACTTAATGTATGATTTTGCACTTTGCATCAATATGCTTAGTTGAATGAAGGCTAAGCAATAAAAAATATGTAGTATAGAACTTATTCGCGTGCATATAAATAAAAGAATTAAGTTTTATTATAGGTAAAATAACCTTTTTTATTAATATTTAACTGTAGAGTAGTTAGAAAACTTAGGTAAAACTTATTATTTACCATAGTTACACTTGTAATATCTGCACTTTTTTCGTAGAATGTATGATTGCTTTTATTCTTTACACTATAAAAAACATGGCTCAAATTATAACACAACACTTTCATTATATTTATTTAATCATTAATGTAAAGCGTTTTTGCAAAACATTTTGTTTTGTGTTGTGTTATAATTTGTACTATGTTTTTTTACAGTGTGGCGAATGAAAGCAATCGCAAATTCTACGAAACAACCGCAGATTTAAGGAAAACAATTTCGTCGAATATAAGAAATATTTTTGTGCATTTTATAAAAATTTTGTAAAAAAATATAGAAATACTAGCAGACCCGGCGAACTTCGTTCCGCCCAAAATTATTATATATTTTATTGAAACTTTTTGGTCCAACATTTTCATCAACAATTCACGTTTACGATTTTCGTTGGCACATTCGTCTGCTAAGATTATGGTTTGGTGGTCATTTGCCGCTTTAAATAACCTAAGGAACNATTTCATAGCACGGTTATTCGCAAAGCGAAATAAATTTTTTCCTCTTCACTCCCTGGCGGCAACAATGACCCGGTTC